ACCAGTAATAGTAGCAGTCGTATCAATAGTCGTAGCCGTAGTAGTAGCATTCGTACTCGTAGTGGTAGTCGCAGGCGTAGTTGTAGTAATAGTCTTAGTAGTAGTAGTAGTAGTAGAAGTAGTAGTAGTAGTAGTAGTAGTGTCAGTGGTCGTAGTGGTGATAGTAGTAGTAGTAGTAGTAGTAGTAGTAGTAGTAGTAGTAGTAGTAGCGAGTAGGTCGTCGTTAGAGACTAGTAGTAATACTAGGCAATAGTCGTAGTAGTAGAAGTAGTAGTCGGGCCGGTGTAGTTCGTAGCTAGCAGTTAGTAGTAAACAGTATGTAGTAGTAGCAGTTAGTTAGTTAGTAGTAGTTGGTAGTAGTGGTGCGCGTGGCCGCTCGTAGTAGTAGTAGTAGTAGTAGTAGTAGTTAGTATCAAGCGTAGTCGTTACCCGTAGTAATAGTATCCGTTAAGTAGTAGTGTAGTAGTAGTAGGAGTATTAGTAGTTAGTGGTAGGTTTAGTAGTAGTCAGTAGTAGTAGTAGTAGGGGTTTAGTAGTAGTAGTAGTAGTAGTGTAGTAGTAGTAGAGTTAGTAGTTAGTGATTAGTAGTAGTCGTAGTCGTAGTAGTAGCAGTAGTAGGGTGTCGTCGTCAGTAGTAGTAGTAGTAGTTAGCAGTAGTAGTTAGTAGTAGTTAGTAGTAGTTAGTAGTAGTTACTAGTAGTTAGTAGTAGTAGTTAGTAGTAGTAGTAGTAGTAGTAGTAGTAGTAGTAGTAGTAGTAGTAGTAGTAGTAGTAGTAGTCGTAGTATTCGTAGGAGTCGTAGTAGTAGTAGGGATAGTAGTCGTAGTCATAGTAGTAGTAGTAGTAATAGTAGTAGTAGTAGTAGTAGTAGTAGTAGTAGTAGTAGTAGTAGTAGTAGCTAGTAGTAGTAGTAGTAGTAGTAGTAGCAGCAGTAGTAGTAGTAGTAGTCGTAGTAGTAGTAGTAGTAGTAGTAGTAGTAGTAGTAGTAGTAGTAGTAGTAGTAGTAGTAGTAGTAGTAGTAGTAGTAGTAGTAGTAGTATAGTAACAGTAATAGTAGTAGCAGTAGTAGTAGTAGTCGTAGTAGTAGTAGTAGTACTAGTAGGAGTAGTAGATTGTAGTCGTATCATTATTATTATTATTTGTTCGCAGCCGCACTTGTAGAAATAGTCCTGTCGTCGTAGTAGTAGAATAGTAGTTTCGTAGTAGTAGTAGTAGATGTAGTAGTAGTAGTAGTAGTAGTAGTAGTTAGTAGTTGTAGTTGTAGTATAGTAGTGTAGTATTAGTAGTTAGTGGTGGTCGGTGGTGGTGTTGGTTGGGGTGGAGTAGTAGTAGTAGCAGTAGTAGTAAGTAGTCGTAGTAGAGTAGAGTAGTGTAGTAGTATTAGCAATTAGTAGTATGAGCATTGTAGTTGTAGTAGTTAGTAGTAGTAGTAGTAGTAGTAGTAGTAGTAGTAGTAGTAGTAGTGAGTAGTTAGTAGTTAGTGAGTAGTCGTAGTAGAGTAGTAGTAGTAGTTAGTTAGTAGTAGTAGTAGTAGTAGTAGTAGTAGTAGTAGTACTAGTACTAGTAGTACTAGTACTAGTAGTACTAGTAGTACTACTAGTAGACGTAGAAGTCGTAGTACGAGGACGAGTACGAGTATTAGGGGGAGTGCGGAAGGAGGATGAGAAGGATGAGAAGGACGAGGAGGAGGAGGGGGAGCAACAGGAGGAGGAGGAGGAGAAGAGGATGAGGAGGAGGAGGAGAAGGAGTTGGAGGAGGAGGAGGAGGAGAAGGAGGGGGATGAGGAGAAGGGGAGAGATGATTGATGAGGAGGAGGAGCAGAGGAGGAGGAGGAAGAGGAGTAGGAGGAGGACGAGGAGGAGGAGCAGGACCAGGAGGGGAGGAGGCGGAGAGGAGGAGGAGCAGGAGGAGGAGGAGGAGGAGGAGGAGGAGGAGAGGGAGGAGAAGGGGAGGATGAGGAGGAGGAGGAAAAGGAGGAGGAGGACGAGTAGGATGAGAAGTGGGAGGAGCAGGAGGAGGATGAAACGGAGTTGGAGGAGGAGGAGAAGGAGGAGGAGGAGGAGGAGGAGGAGGAGGAGGAGGGGCGGAGGAGGAGAAGGAGGAGGACGAGGAGGAGTTGGGGACCACAGTGCTCCACTCAAATCGAGGGGGGGCGCGTTCGGCGCCGCCCGCTCGCGCCCGCGGCGGCAGCGCGGCAGGCCGAGGCACTCTTCGCGGGCCTTGGCCTGGGGGAGCCGGGCCGGAGCCACTGGGTGCAGGCGGGGCCTCCTGTGCGGCTGGGCCGCGGACTTCCTCTTCGGCAGCGAGCCCAAACTGCTACCCTTCGCCCGTTTTCCTTCTTTTAGGCGTCCTGGGAGGCCCTCGTTGCCACCGCTGGATTCGCCTCGAAATTCTTGTCAGAACGCACCTCGGGAGAGGTCCTGGGAGTAGCGGTATTGGTAACTTTTGGTTTCCCCACTGGCATGGGTGAATCGGCGGCGGGCGAGGGTGGGAAGTGAGAAAGAGAAGGCCTTCTCAGAAGGCGGCGGGGCTTCTGAGAAGGACTCTGGCCGTCTGAGAAGTGTTCTGTGTCGTCGGGGGAGGCTTGGGAGACTTTTTAGCAGGCTGGAGGTCTTCTGAGCCTTCTGAGGAGGCCCGCCCCTTCTCACTTCCTTCCGGGCCCGCCGTTGATCCTCGGTCGGGCTCGAGGTCCGAAGTTCTCGGATAGTCTTGTACGTCCTCGGCGGCTTTCCAGCCACGGGGTGCCTTCCAGCGGCTGCGCCTCTCCGAGGGCGTGCCTGGGGGGCCGGGCTCGTCCCAAACGGCCGCTGCGGGGCCAAGTTACGACCAGAAAAATGGCTCAAGCAGGGCTCGTTTTGGCTCAAGGAGCAGCTGGCTCAAGTAAGGAAGCTGGCTCACGCCGCCGACGCCCCCGACCAGGAGCTCTGCCAAGGGTGGGGGCACCGTCTTATCCTACTTTTCCTCACCATTCGCTTTTCCGCTTCCTACCTCCTATCCCCTTCCATGGCGGGACGCTGCCGCGTTTGCGCGGCCCGTGGCGTCGAGGGGCTTGCCATGCCGGGTGGCTTCCTCTGCGAGGCCCACCTGTACGCACCTGCTCCGGGGCTAGCTACGCCGGCCCTGGATACGCCGGCCGAGGAGGAAGACGACGCGATGAACGCCGCGCATGCCGAGCACTCTGGCGCCACGCAGGGAATGGCGGCGCTGCAGATGGCACCTGCCGTCACGGAGACGCCCTCCGCTTTTGCGGCGATGATCGAGCATCAGATGCTCGCGCACTTCGAGCTCATCCAGGCGGCGCACACGATCAATGGCCACACCATCATCCCACGCTCCCTGGACACCAAGATTGAGTTCGACCAGGTCCTGAAGGCGCTCGCATACGTCCCCGACGCTGCCGAACCCTGGAGCATTCTTGGACTGGCACCTTTGGAGGGACCTGACATCTCCCTGAACACCATCGAGACGCGCCTCCGCTTCGCCAAGCTGCTGGCCTCCGTGATCGACGGCGCGAGCTGGCCCGAGCAGGACAAATCCGACGCCCGCACGTCCGTGCAGAAGATCTCCCGCGCGGCCGACGCCTGCTTCGACTCCTTCGACGCGTGGGTCCGGGAGAGGAAACGCGCACGCCCCTCCAAACTCCCCCTCTGGAAGGAGCTGGGTAGCCGCGCTTTGAACGTCGTACTCGACACCGCCCCATTGGGAACGGAGGTGGTGTGCACCCAGTGGTCGAACCTCCTGGACGCCACGGGAGGATCGACGACCCCCCACTACGGCACTCGAGTGGCGACGGTGGGAGTGGCCCGCCTGCTGGCCGATCTCGCGGAGAAGGGGGACCCCACCTTCTGGGACACGATCAAGGCCACGGGCAAACCAGTCTCGATTTGGGCTCCCTCCACTGCGTCAGCGCTGGGTCGATTGATGGCTTCACTGTTGCGCCGGGGCGCCAACGAGGTCCCCTGCGCCTACATCCGGTTCCTTGTCCCGATGGATTTGCACCCGGGTTGCACCAGTGTCGAGTCCATCTGCGATCTTTGGTGGCACGAGCTCCTGGGCGACAAGTGGCCAGGCATGACCCGCAACGTCGAATTCCACCCGCAACCGCTCGAGTTCATCTCCCCTGGCCCTGCGGGTCCCCGCCACGAGCTACGCGGCCTGGCGATCTTCACGATATCCTCTTCGCTACTCCGCCAGGCGCCTCGCGTACGTGACCTGGAGGTGCCAATCTTGTCGACGGCTGCGCTTCCGACATACTTCATGGACTTCCCCTCTGCCGTCGGCCCGGAGGTCATGCACCTCCTGCACGGCGGCCTGGATTCATCTGCGGCCGTCGGACGCATATACCGCAGCCCCGGCCACACGACGGAGACGCCCCGGGGCCGAGTCGAGATTCGCTTCGCCAACCACACGTCCTCCCTCACCAGGGAGCTGCTGATGCGCCGCATTCGAGGGCGTCTCCCGGTCGGCGTTTGCTTTGCCTCCGTGGACCTGTTCACGGACGCGGGCTCCCTCTTAGCCGAGGTGGGCCATGCGGACGCCATCAACACGTTCTGGAACATGTGTTCGGGGGCTATTTTCCTCACCAAGTCCACTGTCCTCCTCGCCACGGAGTCCGCCCCCGAGACCTGGCAGACCACGATGGACGCTATGCTGCGGAACGACACGGACTCCGCGATCCTCAAGCTCAGGCATCGCCCCTCCCGCCATGGAGGTCGGCACTTCGCCACCCCGTCAGCCCTCCCAGCAAGGCTGGCGGCCGCGCGCCGTGCCAAGCAGACGAGGGGAGGCTCGACGACCCTCCAAGCCATCACGGACGTCGAGATCAAAGGGCACCTCCATGCGGACGAGCATGCGCTGGTGCAGTCCCTCACGCAGCATCTGACCGTGCAGACGGGCCTCCACCTCACGGAAAACAGTCCACCGCCGGGGGCCCCAAGATGAGCTCATGGAAGTGGTTGTCGGCCTCGGACCCCTCTGCACCACCAGGCCGCGCAAGACTCTTCTTGAAAGACCTCTCGGAGGTCCAGAGGGTCCGCAACGCGCTCCACGACAAGAGCATCCGGGTGGGAATGGACACTTTCAGAATTCACGTGCACAACGATTTGCAGGACCAGGTCGGGGGCGCAGACGCCGCTCGGTGACTAGCCCCTGCTGGGGCTATTGCCTGGGCAATCGACGACTCAGGTTGCATGCTCCTCATGGTGGACGTCGCGTTTTACCTCCTGGACCTCGCGCCCACGAGCTACTGCGCCAACGCCCACGCCGGGGATAATTCGAATGCCGCTGCTGCTGTCCCCCATCGTCTTCCTCCATTTCTGCCTCCCCTTCCAGACGGGCAAGCACTACAGCTCCGCCAACACCATGATGTTCCACCATCTCTTCTTCAACGAGCTCTCGTTCGACGAGCGTTGGGCGTCTCTCCACCGACATTTGTCGAGGGTCCCAGGCCTGCCGCACCGAGGACTCGCCCGCCGGTGCCGCAATCGGAGGTGGCGGAGCATCCGTTTCGAGGAGATTTTTCCATCTGCACATGGAACGCGCAGGCACTCTTCGCCAAAGACGCGGTCCGCCACAGCCTGAAGTGGGGGAAGTTGTTGCACCTCTTGCGGGACCACGACGTCGTCACGATCACCGAGTCCCACGGCGCGAGCGAGTCCTTGCAGCTAGCCCAGGCCCCTCCCGGCACCATGGCGTGGTGGGCCCCGGGCACATCTCGCCGAGGAGGCGTCGGAGTGGTTGTCAACGTTTCCTTCTTGCAGCACTTCCCCATCCGGGACTGGATCATTCTTCACCCTGGGCGTGCCGCCGTACTCCGACTGGGTGGTCCGCGCGGCTCGATGGATATCTTCGCGTCGTACTTCCAGACGGGCACCTCCGCTGACTTCGCCGGCCCCGTGGCTGAGCACGCGGGGGCCCATCAGATGGAGGTGCTGGACGTTGTCCCCCTGGTTCAGCAACGCGGCCAGCTTCGCTCCACCATAGCGCGATCCACGCGGCCGCCCCACGACGCCCTCACCATCATCACTGGAGACTTCAACTGGGTCGCCGAGGAGCGGGGCAGAATCTCGAAGACCACCGGGGCTGCCACGGGGCGTCGGGACCACGAGGAGGAGGTGCACTGGGCGCGCCTCCTGCCGGGCTTCGCCGAAGCACACCAACCATGCATGACGCATAGTTCCGCCCAGGCTCGCTCGCGCCTGGACCGCATCTACGTGAACATGGAGGCCACGGATCTGCTTGATCGACAGGTCGCAATTGGGGTGGACGACTGGAACTTCCAGCTGTCCAACCACAGGGCCGTGTTCCTTTCGCGCCGGGCGCCGCCGCCAAGGCCATCGACCTCCAGGCCCATTTCTTCAGAGTTGGTTCGACGTCCAGGCTGGTCTCAAGCCGTGGCACTTCGATTTCATTCCCTCCTCGAGGGAATGGCCGACGTGAACGAGGTGCAACGACTCGCAGCCCTACGTCGGGCCATACGTGACGCATCCATCTCCTTCGAGGCGACCTGCGCTAGCCGCCTGGCAGAGGCACCGGACGACAAGCTGGGACGTACCATGGCGTTCATCAGAGCAGTGGAGTCCCATTCCACTCACGCGATCTCGGCGGCGATCGAACGGTATCCGCACCTCTGTACCTTGGTGCCCAACCCATACGACCCGTCTCTGGCGACGGGAAGGCGGCTCGCCCCGGTCAGGGAGCACGCAGTCGAGCTTGCTCGCGAGCACGCGATCGCGGAGCTCACGCGTCTTCAAGAAGCACCTTCGGACTTCCCTGAGGAGCTCAAGCATCGCGCCCGCCAGAAGAACCTTCGACTCTTGTCAAAGCTGTCGCCTGGGAAGGGGAAGTTTGTTTCGGCCACGCGAGACAAGCATGGGGCGCTCCACGCGCGACCCGACGAGATGGCCGCAGATTTCCGGGCACACTGGAGGCAGGTCTTTGCCAAGAAGTCGACCGACCAGGCGCTGCGACGACGCTGGTTTCAGGACGACCTGACCCCTGAGGTGCTCGCGCCGTTGCCACCGGCGGACTCGCCGCAGTGGCAAATCCGCCGCGAGGACATCCAGAAGGCCATTCGATGCTCTGGCTCGTCGGCCCCGGGGCCCGACGGCATTCCGGCGGCGGCCTATTGCGAATTGGGCGAGTTGGGCGTCGACGTGCTATTCGGAGCTTTTCGCCGCCTCGCCGGCCCCGACGGGGAGGAATTGCAACAACTTCACCTGCCGGACTTCAATAGCTCTTTGCTCCACCTCCTCCCAAA